TTTTTGAGTTGGAGTCTCATTCTGTCACCGAGACGGTAATGTAAGGTCCGCTGCTGTACAGCACGTCCTCTACCTGATGGGCTCCGGCGATCCTTCCGCCTCAGCCTGCCAAGCAGCTGGAACTACAGGCGCACGCTACCACGCCCAGGCAATTTTTGATTTATTGTACAGATGAGGTCTCGCCAAGTTGCCCAGGCGGGTCTCGAACCCACAGGCTCAGGAATCCATTCACTTCAGCCTCCCAAAGGCACAGGATTACAGGCTGAGCCACCAAGCCTGGCTACATTTTTCTATAAGTAAGTTCCATAACTAGATTTTGTCACCATCTCTTCTAATTTTATGCTATTATCTTCTACTACTGACTTTGAAATTATTGCAAAAATTTTCAAATTATCTTACTTTTACAAGAAGGTAGGTTAGCAAAATACACTTTGAAGCCACTAATTATAAAATTATTTAAAGTATTATATTAAAATGTTATATAAACATTGTTTAAAACCATCTATACCTTTACATTATCCTATTGGTTTTACATTTAAGTTGTATATTTGCAGGAATGTCTACTTAAGCAACACACAGATTGCTATAATTTCCAAGCACACATTAAAAATGATCATATAAGGCCAGGCACGGTGGCCCATGCCTCCCAGCATTTTGGGAGACGAAGGCAAGAGGATTGCCAGAGCCCAGGGGTTCGAGATCTGTCTGAGCAACTTGGCAAGACCTCATCTCTACAATAAATCAAAAAATTAGCCAGATGTGGTAGCTCACGCCTGTAGTTTCAGCTACCTAGAAGGTTGAGGCAGAAGGATCATCTGAGCCCAGTAGGTCAAGACTGCAGTGGCCAGGAACATGTGACTGTACTCCAGCCTGGGTGACAGAGTGAGACTCTTTCACTCAAAAAAAAAAAAAAAAAATCACCTAAGACTATCCATTCTAGGGTACTCTCAAGACCTCTACCAAGCGATACAGGGTGACCTTTGTCCCTTTTGATCAGCTGCTCCTAAAGTAGCAATGCTTCAGGAAGCCTATCATTCAAGTAGCTGTTTCACTAGTTCTCCTTTCAGTCCTACTTCCCCACGAAGAACTTGTTTATCAGCCTATCAACAATTGATGAAGTAGCACATTAAAAAAGGTCTTCCTGCTGAGGCGGAAGGAAAGCCTGAGCCCAGCAGGTCGAGGCTGCGGTGGCCGGGAGGGAGTGTGCCATACTTCAGCCTGGGCAACAGAGTGAAACTCCAACTCAAAAAGAAAAAAAGTCTTCCTGTTGAAGTATCCTCACTAAATGCATTATGTCATTTCCAGAGTGTATTCACTTCATGAAACAGTGCTGTCTCCCAAGGTATTAAAAGTTACCAAATAAATTTGCAAAATACTAGGCTAAGCATAAGTTATTGTAAGTCCTCCCATAGCTTTCAATATTTTAATGCATATTTTGAGTCTCCTTGAGTAATAGTTGAACATGGGGAATGTTTTTTCACAAAGCACCTTGAATGTACTCTTATTCCTACAATTCTACAATTTCAAAAAAATTCCCTTTACTATGAAGCTCATCTACTGATCAATCATATCTTAGAATGAGCCTTTACCTGAGGAAACAAATCACACTTGAATTAATAAGATAACTGATTCTTTTAAGAAAACAAAGGACAGAAGGAAGGATACAAAGGATTTCCAAAACAAAAAATAATCCCTCACAAAGTAGCCTACCCCATTTTTTCTAATTTTATAGACTTTCTTCCCACTGACACGTATACTAATCAGAAATCTACCTGTCAACTTTTACCCATTAAATCTTATTTATTCTGGATTAATGTTATGAAACAAAAAATTGTCATGCACACAAAAGCCCTTTAAATACATGACAACAGCTCTTAATATATCATTATATGTTGGTGCATTAGATGGCACTTTAATTTTCCACATACATAAATTTTCACATACATGCTTTACAAGAAAAAGTATTATTATTCTGCAAATAAGACCAGGGATAACACTGATATCCTAACTACAGATGAATGATTTGCCCAACCTCACAAAACTATCAGGAATAATAAAGCTTTTTTTGTTGTTGAGTTGGAGTCTCACTCTGTCACCCAGGTTGGAATGCAATGGCATGCTCATGGCCATTGCAGCCTCGACCTGCTGGGCTCAGGTGATCCTTCTGCCTCAGCCTTCCAAGTAGCTGGAACTTCAGGAACACGCTACCATGCCCAGCTAATTTTTTGATTTATTGTAGAGATGAAGTCTTGCCAAGTTGCCCAGGCTGGTCTCACACCAATGAGCTCAGGCAGTGCTCTCACCTTGGCCTCCCAAAGTGCTGGGATTACAGGCTTGAGTCACCACACCCAGCATAAAACTTTTAAAAAGAAATCTATCTGTATTAATATTTTTATTTGTATTTACTTATATGTTGAAGTAGATATTTATATAGATTACATACTTCATATATATAAAATTATGCAACTCTGTGTGTGTGTGTGTGTGTGTGTATGTGTGCATGTTTAAAGTTTTAACTCTTTATTTCTTTTTATAAATTTAAGGGATACAAGTATAGTTTGTTACACAGACATATTGTGCAGTGGTGAAGTCTGGGCTTTTAGTACAACCATTGCCCAAATAATGGACATTAAGTAATTTTTCATCCCTCATCCCCTTCCTATCCTCCTACCCTTCCAAGTATCCAAAGTCTATTATTACACTCTATGTAAATATGTACATATTATTTAGCTTCTACTTACAGGTGAGAATATGTGGCATTTGACTTTTAGGAGACAATAGAACTTTAAATCTGGGTCATCCAAATCTAAGATTAGCTACCTTAAGCTAATCAATGGCCAAAAATTACCAATCCTTCATTCTCAAAATGCTGCTTTGAAATGTTTTCTGCCTTAAGATAGTCAATCTTCTCATATATCTGTTTTTCAAATACCTATTATGCCCATTTTACAGTGAAAAGGTTACAAATTTTCTCAGTCATCAGCTGATAAAATGGCTAAACTAGGATTCAAATCCAGGATTTTTGGCTTTACATCAAGGGATCTCTCCTCAAAATAACCAATAACTGAAACTCAGAAATTATAATAAAATTTCTCATTTTGCTCCATATCCTTAAGTAAAATTATCTACCAATTCTACTGACTCCTACATAAATTCTTTCCTAAAGTGACACATTCAATCATGTCTAAAATGTAACCTACCCTGCCTTATCTGGCTTCAAAAGCCTCCCCTGATTTCCCTCACCCAATCTGTTTGCTCCTATGCATTCTGTTCTCAAGATCAAATTCTGGGATCAGATGGCCTTGGCACTAACACATCTTAGTTTGTGAGCTTAGACAGGTAAGTCAACCAGTGACCCTGAAGTTCCTTACCTGTAAGCTAGAAATGATAACACTTGCCACACAGGACTGATAAGGAACAAATAAGATAATCCGAGTAAAGCATCTAGAACAACCGCCAGGCACTTATAAGCACAGTGAATATTTTTTACTAATTTCTTTTGAACTCTTTCTAACTTATTCAAAAAGAAGTAAGTACATACTAAATGATAAGCTATGAATCCCCAGGTCCATATAGTATTCATCCCTAAGCATTAATCAATACCATCAAAAAAGAATCAAGTAAAATTTCATTTCCTCTGGGTTCTTAATAATGCCAAATGATCCGATTATGTTACAATAGTAAAACACAGACCTAACATGGTAAAAATAAGTGTATAGTAAAGAAAGCAAATGCATTATAGTAATACATACTCCCATCTTCAAATCGTAATGCTGCTACATATAAGACATGTTAACAGCGATATTATTTCCACCTCCTTAAAATAAATGTCCTTAATCACTATCCTAAGGCACCACTGTTTTGAAAAATAAATGTAACTGCATACGTAAAATATCTGTCACTTATTTGATGCTGGTTCCCTTTTCATTTCAACAGACTACAATGAAAGATCAAAACTAGAATAGTGGCAGTAAAAATGAAAAAGTGATGTTACAGTGACAATAGAACAGACAGATTTTGTGAAAGGAAGGAAAATAATTGTGAAATGAATTTTAAAATACTAATCGGTTTGTGACCGTGTACAGAGAGGATTTAGTGGAATTATCTGGACTGGTTTTATCAAGGCACAGTAACTCTACCAGAACTCTCAGTATTTCCTGATTGAGAGCTCCCTTACAACCAAGGAAACCCCACTGATTAGCCACTGGTAAGGTCGGGTTTTATTTTTAAAATCATGTTACTGGGCAGGGCAGCTCATACCTGTAATCCCAGCACCTTGGGAGGTAGAGGAGAGAGTACTGCCTGAGTCCAGGGGTTTAAGACCAGCCTGCGCAACTTGGCAACAACTCGTCTCTACAATAAATCAAAAAATTAGCCGGGCATGGTGGCATGCACCTGTAATACTTGGAAAGCTGAGGCGGAAGGATCACCTGAACCCAGCAGGCCAAGGCCGCAGTGGCTGTGAGTGTGCCACTGTACTCTAGCCTGGGGAACAGAATGAGACTCTAACTCACACACACAAAAAAAGTCATGTTAACAAACTGTGTAAAAAAAAGTTGATCTCCAAGAAGGGTCAATGCCCTTCTCAAGTATTATACTCAAGTTTAATCTATTATCACCTAGCCCTGGAACTCTTCTAGAAATAAAAGCTAAAAGAGATAAACTCTCTAAGTGAGGCAGACTAGAAATCAGAAAGGAAAGAGTAAATCCTATGAAAACTGCTGTAAGTTCAACATGACCCACTGGCTGTGAAAATCTGCAAGACTGACTCATGAAGAACTAAAATGTGATGGTTTAGCCATAAGAAGGCAGCATTCCTTATCTGTCTTCATAAAACTAAATGTATTATCAGTTATAAAATGCCATTATGTACATGATTACAGGCAGAGTAATAAATCTAAGGATGTCTAAGCCGGAAAAATAAAAGGAAAAACCCTAACTTTAAATCACAATTGCTTTTGACAATTTCGTTAAAGAAAAAGACCTTTCTGTAAACTTACTTGCTAATTTGGCCTGTAATCCAGAAGGTCCAGGTTTTGATGTCTCTGATTTAGAAGACCCTGGAAGAGACAGTTTTGTTTTAGGAAGGCTAACTTTAGGGCTGAAACGAGCAGCCCAATCAAATTTTGAAGAGCCACCAGTTTTACTCTGTTCCTTTTCCCTGCTACTTCTTCTGGGACTGGGACTGGATGCTGAACGGGAACGTCTGGACTTGTTCTGATCTTTTCCTTGTTTCACCCTGGCACCTGGTGGTGCAGTGGAGGAGGCAGAGGCTACAGCAGAAGACGAGGAGGAAGTAGAGGCAGCAGAAGAAGAATCAGTGATGGTGCTACACCCAGCTTTGGCTGAGGCGGCTGATTTTGAAGCCAGCTTGGTAGGTTTTACAGATCTCTCTTCGGCACCAGTTGATTCAGACCCAGAACCACTTTTTACACAAGAACTCTCTGTCCTCCTGCGTTTCTGACTCCGTGAACTACCAGTGGCCCCACTCTTTCTGGTATGAGCCTTGCTTGTTGATGGTGATTGTGCAGATTTCAGTTGCTGCTCCTGGTCTAAATGTCTCTTCTTTGACTTACTATGTGGTTTATTTGTTTCTGAGGGAGATTCAGTGTGCTGAAGTGCTTTTGGTTTTTTTGCAGAGCTAGGAGAATTGGTCCTGTTGTAGTCTGGACTAGCACTGCGTTTCACTCCTCGAGAATTGTCTTTCTTAGGCACCTGCCCCGTTTTTTGCCTTTCTGAAGTATTGGCTCTGTCTGGATCCTCTGGCTGTGGAACTATGACAGTAGATGATGAACTGCAGCTTCTAAGAGGTTAGATAAGGAAAGAGTTAATATCAGCCTATCATCATTAAACATATTATTTATAATGTTTCCCCCCCCACCCAAAAGTACAAATACTTTCCTAATAAGTTCAAGTATTAAATAAACATACGTTTTCAGATGATTCAATTTTGGAAGAAGAAAAAAAAATCAAAAGTAAAAGCGGATGTGACTTTGGATAGTAAAGTTTTTTATTAGAAGATAAGGGTATTCTTTAGCCCAAATATTACTGACACTAACACTTCTAATCACTTAAAACAAGAATTTAGATTATGAGAAAAAGGACGCTTAAAGATTCAAAACCAGTGGAAACTAGAATACTGATGCTTTATTCAAAACAACTGTTTTGTCAAAGCTTAGAGTAAGCATTAACAATATATACACTTTCAAAATGAAGGTTAGACATTTTTACATTCTAGTACTATCAAATTTATATTTATGCAGATTTGTATTTATACTGTACTACTATAAAATCTTCAGTTAACATTCTTGCCCAAAGAGTCTTACCAATTAGATCTTAAGAATCACTGATCTAAATTATAACTGACAATAAAAACAAAATAGTATTTTAAATGCCCATAATGATTTGCTAATCAAAAGTGGAACCTATAGCTCTCTTAACAAGGAAAAATATCATTGACAAATGCATAGCTTATGGCATAGTACAGTGATACCACTGCAAAGGTGACAAACTATTACTCATAAAACTTATGTTAAGAGAATAATAAAAACATGTATCATAACATTTTGGAATAACCTGGTAAATTTTAATATTATGCAATAATTTGAATGCAAATAATTCTGCCTTGAAAATGTATAAGCAATGTGAAGATTTACCTTTTAGAAAGGTGTCCCCTTGACAGTTCAGAAGTAGTATTAGACTGCACTTTGGGTGCCTTAGAATTAGATTTTCTACTCTCAGGAGGGCTATGTGCCTTATGTTTTGCCTGCCCTAAGTGTGACCTGTCAGCAGAAAATCAAAACAGAAATCTATCAGGAAACTGAGATGCAATACTGAAAATGAAAAAAGTATTTTTATATATATTTTAAAAGTCACCTAATACTTCACTATTGACCCCACCCTTTAAAAAAATGTTAAAAGTATTATTCTATCAAATAAACTGGCCAAAAAAAACCCTGCCTCTTAGAACCAACCCCTAAAATATGCAAGAGTTAAGATTTTTTATTATAGCCAGTTGTCATGATTGTCTAGCATTGTTATAAGTGCTTAAGCAATAATGAATTTTTCAGCAATTTTACTACATTCAAATATTCTACATTTTTACAAAAAGCAAATCCAGACTTTAGCTCTAAACACTACTTTTAACAGCAATAGGACTGTCATGGCTGTAAAAATGTTATGTTACCTCACATCTTTAAAATAAAAAAGAAGAAAAAAAATTTTATGTAAAAGGAAATTTGTGATTTCCACACTGACAATGATTTCTAATTTGTACATTAAAATGCAGTTAAGCACAGTAAATCCAGGGGCAGATAAGCCAATTCTCAAAGTGATTTTACAAAGAAAGTCATTAGACACACAAAACAGTAAATAAACTTACACGAAATCAATATAATACTTGCTAAAACTTTAAAGTACTAGTCAATAGAAAGTATACAAGAACCAAGTTCTAGATACAGAATTTACCACAAAATGTTCCAAATACATCCAAAAGACTCCATCATTAATATGGCTGCATTACATTTACAATAAATCAGATTATTTTGCCAACAATGTTCTAAAAGCAAGCATGAACCGCATGAAGATTTTTTTTTAGCCTTGGGCAAAGGTTATGGGAGATTTACATAAGCAATAAAAACTGAACATGTTCTTATATCCAGAAAAACTGGTATCATACAGGTGAGATATTAATGTAATAAATGCAATTTATATAATTCACAGCTGGTAGCCATCTTCTGCATAAAACAGTGTATTCTATTAAGAACTTAAAACAAAGTTTCATTAATACCAAAGATATTTACCTGTTAAATGTTTAAGACTTTCATTCCAAACATACCAACTCAGAATAACTGAGAAATGAATCACTGAAAACCTCACACAATGATAATTCTAACCGAATCTATAAGGACACCATACATTTTTTAAGATAACATACAAGTACAACCATCTGTTCCAAAAGTGAACCTAAGCTTCTGTTTTCGGTATCTTTATTTCTTCTCTCCTCTTTCCAGAAGAATTTAATAAAGGATTCTTAAAAGTAGATAAGAAACTAGCTTCTCAATAAAAGGAAATAGTTATAGGATCTCTAATATTTTCATCTGTTAAATTCTAATCTGACATAAATAATAAGTACTTTCTGAAGACTTACTAGATCAACTACTAAAAAATTCTAGGTTAGTCTTCCAAATGCCTTAGTCTTCACTTTAATAATGAAGGGACACACATACACACATACGCACACAAACTCTCTCTCTCTCTCCTCTCTCTTTCTTTCTAATATACTCATACATATTTTCTCAAGTCATTGCTAAGCTTAACCTTGTAAGATTTTTATGCACTTTGATTTTATTTTTTCTAGCTATTCTCCCATTGCAGACTAAAATTCTACTTTAATCCATGAGTTTCGTATTAGAGATTTAATTTCTAATAATTGCTTTTGTTTTGTTATATTCCTACAAACAGATGAGAGTTCTGTTCTTTTTTTCTTAAGAAATGAGACAGAATTAATGTACAAATCACTTCATAAGCATGCTCCAGTGGCACAATTGGTTAGCGCACAGTACTTATACAAATCACTTCATAGTTATTTTTTAAAAGAGAGTTCTGTTTCCAAGGTACTGAATTTAATGTTTATAAACTAATGTCATTCAGGTCCTCTACAGTTTTATATTCTTTTTTTTTAACTTTTAAATTTTTTATTTTAAAGATGTGGGGTACAATTCAGGGTTAAGTATACAAATGTTCATTATGCAGGTACCCTTGTTGATTATTTGTGCTCCCCTTCTCCCCTGGCAGTTTCCCTCAACTGCCAATCCCATCCTCCCTCCCCTGGCAGTTTCCCACTACTGTCAATCCCTTTCTTATAGTATTATGATGATTATTCAAGGTTCGTTTATGAGTGAGAACATACGGTACTCTGCTCTTTGTTTCTGTGATAGGTCACTGAGTATGATAGACTCTAAATCCATCCAAGTTGCTGCCAACAGTCTTATATTCTTAAAGACTGTGGTAGACTGATGTTTTAATTGAATCACATTTCTACTTATTTTCATTGTAAAACTTAAAATATCTCTTGATAAAAAAATCATGTTTAAAAATCATATCCAAAGCTAGACAACTTTGTGAAAAATAACATTCGCGACAATTAAAAATTCAAATGTCAATCTTAAAAACAAGTTATTATATATCCCTAATATGTCTCAAGAAAATTTAAAATATTTATTCTATTTGTCATCCAAAATTGACCCTCATCGAACTAATGTTGGTCCCACTATAAAGGAAGCAGTCCTCATCTTTTTAATCCCAATAAATTGTTCTTTGGTCTTAAGTCACAGATAACTTTATATCTACTTAATCCTACTCCTATATTTCTCAGGCCCTTACTAACATCTTCAAGTAAGCAGTACCCAATCATCTTAGAAAATACAAGGTTCAGCCAGGCACGGTGGCTCAAGCCTGTAATCCCCGCACTTTGGGAGGCCAAGGCGAGAGGATTACATGAGCCCAAGGGTTCGAGACCAGCTTGGGCAACTTGGAGAGACCTCATCTCTACAATATATCAAAAGTAGCCGGGCATGGTAGCACACGCCTGTAGTTCCAGCTACTTGCAAGGCTGAGGCGGAAGAATCACCTGAGCCCAGTAGGTCAGGGCTGTGGTGGCCAAGAGCGTGTTACTGCACTCCAGCCTGGGCAACAGAGTGAGACTACTACTCAAAAAAAAAAGAAGAAGAAAATACAGGGCTCACAAAACTGGCTTGAATTCAACAATGCCCACATTGATCTTTCCTAAAACTATTTTGTCTGGGCACAGTGGCTCACACCTATAATCCCAGAGCTTTGGGAAGCCAAGGCAGGGAGACAGCTTGAGCCCAGGAGTTTGAGACTGGCCTAGGCAACAGAGCAAGACCTTGCCTCAATTAAAATTTTTAAAAAAGTGTGTGATAGTCTCACTGAGAACTGGTTAAAAATGTTTTTTGAAATACTATAAAATATTTATGTTTTTAATATTATAAAATATTGATCATAACTGTCCTTCTGCCTATTTGCTTAGCACTGGGGATTTAATACATTCCCTGTAAAGAATAATAAGTACTTTTAGCTTAGTGGGCAATATTGTGTGTCACAAAAGCAGGCATGGACAATATGCAAAGAAATGAGCATGGCTATGACCAATCAGAATTTTACTTACAAAAGTGAGCAGTGAGCAGATTCAGCACATGGGCCATAGTTTTAAACCCTGGCTTAGTATACAAGGAACAGGCAACCCGATGGTATCACATAGTGACAATGAGGTCTCCCAAAGTAGGGCTCTATTTTATTATGTCCATTTATGAATTATTAATGTTCAGAAAATATCCATAAAATAATGATGTCCAATCTACAACAGCCAATTAGAACCTAACAGTACTGAGAGAGAAAGATGCCTTGGATGCCTCCTTTTAGCTCATTTTACCAACTCCCCCATTTATCAAGCCTTAATGTTCAACTTTAACTTTTATTAAAAATCATAATCTCTTTAAAACCTAGTAAAATTTATATCCACTATTAATAAAATTTGTAGAATAGCAAAGTAAAATTCAAGATAAATTCTTTTAAGTAGCACTAGAATAAGACAATTTAGCAAATTATGCTCCAAAGATTTGGGGGTGGGGGTGGGGGTGTGAGTGTGAGCGTGAGTGTGAGTGAGTGAGTGTGTGTGTGTGTGTGTGTGTGTGTTCATACAGGAGCATCTACAACAACATATGGATATTCCTGCGGGGTGGGCTGGGGGGTGCAAATCAAACAGTTCTGCAAAACCACCCATTGAAATGAACAGGGCTAGTGGTAAAAATAAAATTGGGCACAGAGCACTCAAACCTATATATATTATTTTGTAAAGACCAGTTCCTACAAATGTAAAAATGCAATTTTCAGGAAGACTTTCTTTTTTGTCGTTTTCTTTCTTTATAAACACAGGAGCAAAACACAGGAATTTCCTGAGAGTATTTCTGCCAGTGCAAAGTATGATGATTCTGAATGCCACTGGACTAGCCATTTCTTTCACTGAATGATTTCTTTAAATCATTTCTGCAAGATCTGCATGTTTTTTGTAAGGTCTTCATATATATATTACCAAACCTTGTTCTTTAATTGAAGATGTCTCCCAATTTCAGTATATATATTAGCAATGGTGGGAAGAGTTGCCTATGAACCAACGCTACTTCCACATTACACGGACATCATTTCTCTATTTATCAAGCGTATATGGGCCAATTGACATTAAGGAAACATGTGTTACAACAGAACAGTTTATAATCAATGCTGGGCTATGTGTTTTCAATATAATCTTGAAAGAAAGTCTCAAGTTCCTCTTGTTAATTTTTAGGCACATAGTATTAACTGCATCCTTCTACCTACTTTAATTTACTTCTATGGCTACCTAGTCAAATCCTTTATGATGATCAAAAGAAGTAAAAATCACCTCTAGCAGGAGGATCACTTGAGGCCAGGAGTCCAAGACCAGACAGGGCAATATTTAGTGAGACTCCATCTCTCCATTTAACATAATAAAAATAAATTTTAAAAAAATCATCTCTAGTCCAGAGGAGATCTAAAATAGACCTAAACTTCATTATCAAATAACATATTGTTTCCTTACTTATGTTAGCAAAAATAAGAAAAATGACTAGTTAAAAGTAGCTAATTTCTTAAATTTTAGGTATTGTTTCAATTTAATTTCTATGCCAGACAGCTCACAGCGTAAATATATGCATATATTACCAAATATAAACGGCTCAGGGGT